AGTAGTGTGGTTTAATAGAGAACTTGAGCACATTATGCGTTGAAAATCGAATTTATCAAGGCATGTTCAGGAGACATCGCGCGAGACATCGTCTCGCGAGACAGTTCGGAACTGTTCGGACAGAATCGGAATATACCTGTAGAACATGTGTTGTTAGTTTTTTGATAGCGAACAGTTTTCGAGATTTTTGTCTATTGTACGTGTAATTTTATATATTTTTTGTTCATATTAAACTAAATTCCTTTCATTAATCGTTTGGGGATTATTTTCGAGTTCTGCGAAACAAGGCAGGAGCAGTTTTTGCTTGAAATCTTTCAATTTGATTGCCTATCTATGTTGACGACCATTTGCAGAATTACTGAGACATTATTTATACAAGCATAGCCTCGACTTCATTCTTTTAAAAGTAGACGAACGTCTAGCATTGCGCAAGACTGAATAAAATTCAAAAGAATTCCATGATTGAAGTCGGGGCTATATGTGTATGCTACCCTCCCATAATTTTGCAATGGTCTATTTGCCGACTACCCTGGGTTCAGAGGTTTTCTGGAGGCGACGAGGCGGAGAAAACCTTTTGGCGCGACCTGTCGAATTTCATTTCCATGACGTAATTTATTAATGTTTCACACTTCCGATCTGAAGGGTGTAGTCCAGTACGTAGGCATATTCAAAAGTATTCAACAAAAACATATTCCCCTGACCAATTTTGTTGTGTTTGCCAATGTTACATTAATTGTTGTATTCGGAAGAGGAAAATGTAATATTTTCTCTGGGAAGATTTCCAATAAACTGGCGCATCGGCTGTCTAATTTGGACACAACGTGTCTCCAAATTTGTACTGATGACAAATTGACAATCGGCAAATATGTCTATTCTAAGCAGTTTCAAGTTACAAATTCAAAATACAAGCAACAATCGAGTACATATTTTAATACTTGCATGTGAAATATAAAGTAATGACAGTTATTGAATTATTACTTTCAGGTTTGATGATACAGAACGTTCTATATCTGTTTCGGACTTTACATTGTGTGTATTTACATATAAAATATATAATATATTTAGCCCAAATGCCTTGCCACGACTGAATTTTTGTTCATAAATATTCATGAATTCCACAATACGGGCTACACAATTTTAAAACAACAAACTACATGAAAAACAATTGAACATAGTAACATACACAGTACAGCATACAATACAGGCTGTACAGCACAACACGACTACATACACACGACAAAATTCCGCTCAATTACTCGACATATATACAGAATCATCGCATCATAATAGCGTGATATTAATATGTCTGCAATGACGCTATTTGATCTTAACTATTTAGGAATAACATGAACTTCATCTGAGACGACAACCAACAAATTGTCCTCATAAACGTTTCCACGAACAATCGCTTTTTGTTAACGAAATGCACTCAGTACTTGTCGAACAGTATAAATAGAATAGAATTATATACAGCAAATGTTTATTGATGTTTGCCGATAAGGCCCGATAAACCAATCAGATGTCTAGTGTCAAAATCTGACCCTAGGCATCTGATTGGTTCGGCGAACTCAATCAATCAACACATCGCGCCCAGGGGGTTTCCAATTTGGCCAGCACCGCCTGAGTGCAGGCTACAGCTTCAGCAAAACAGGAAACCCCTGATCCAGGGTATTTGCCGACTGAACTGTGAACTGTAAATAAAATAAGTTAATTGATCATTAAAACGAAATCAAGGAAAACAGTAATAAGCATTAAATATTACTTGGCTTTTTCTTTTGAAAATTCAAAAGCCGGTAATAGTCATTCAAGTGGTTCAATGACTATTGACTTAAACCTAATCAAAGCAAGTCAAGACTCGTGTATGATATAAACGTGCAGTTTTATATCCTAAAGTATAAAGCGCCTTGCGATGAAGTGTGTGTTAAAGGTTAATACAAATGCGAAACGTTGTTCGAAACGCTGTTTTAATGTTTTTAGGTATAGTTCCCAACAAAACCAGGATGTTGTAGGATACTAAATACACTGCCCCATCACGTTTGAGCACCAAACGACCGCTTGTGTCTGCATGAAATGAATACATATTTCTGTTTGATAGATTCGATAACATTCCCGTAGAAGTGACAGGCAACAACCCACCTGCAGCAATACAAACATTTGATGAGTTATTATTACCTGATACTTTGAAATCCAACCTGGCCAAAGCTGAATTTACTAAACCCACTCCTGTACAGAAACATGGTATGCCCATCATCCTTAGCGGTCGAGATGTTATGGCGTGTGCTCAGACTGGTTCAGGGAAAACGGTAAGTTGGCAGTTAACGTCATATATACAGTTTATATAGATAGGCAGACGTCGGTATTCGCATTTTATCCACCCTTTTCGACGTTGACTGGCGTTAATGAGGCTATCTGTTGCGTACATACAGCTATTTCAATTAAGGTTGTCCCGAGCAAAGCAGAAAAGTCGAATACGAGCGCGAAAGGCTTGCTGGGAATCACTAAAGACTTTTCCGCTTTGCTCGGGGACAACCTTAATTGAAATAGCTATATACAGTTGCAAGTCAACTAACGGAGATCCACTTTTTATTTCAGCACGTTTACTGTCGTTCCAATTGAAGTGTTGCTCAAATATTGATTCAATACATTACCTTGGGCTGACCAATTCATTTCATCAAGTTCCTCGAGATATTCATACACTTCCTAGTATAATTGTAAACTTCCTGTTGAATAGTTTGAATGCACCAATCACCTTTGTTGTTTGTGCAACTAACCAATCATAAATAGAAAGGAAGTGACCAGAAATGATCAAATACTTGGAATTGGCTCTTTCACAGGAAGTGTATGAATATCTCGAGGAACTTGGTCAAATGAATGGTCAGCCCGAGGTAATGTATTGAATCAATATTTGAGCAACACTTCAATTGGAACTACAGTAAGGGGGGCGGGGGAGCCTGATAACAAGAGGGGTTTATTAATTTATGGGAAACGCAGTAACTATAGAAAGCGCAGTAAAATAACGTGAAATTAAATCTAGTCATTACACGTGTTTTTGTTTGAAACAACAAACCGAATATCGGATCCGGATGCTGTTTGTAGAACAGTGTATATGGAGAGCGAAGGAATCATGGTGCCATCAGGGATCTCAACTCCTCAAGAGGTTTTGGAGTCGTGTAATTAGGATCCAAGTTTATACTTTGAAAGTATACATTTATCTCTCTTGGATCAAAGCTGCGCTGACAGATAAACTCCGGTTGTTTCTTCCCGTAATACTATTCGTATTAGACCACCACCGTCTTGATCCGGTTTTGTGCGCATGCTCCAGGCACGGCACTGTACTATGTCTGGTTTTTACTTGCCTAGAGTATTTTAATTAACCACAAAACTATTGACACTCCGTAAATTTTAATTCTCTGCATTTCGACATTTTCTGAAGATGACTGCAAATAAATAGTCAAAACGTAGAGGAATAAGATGTTAGCAAGTAATATGTTTGAGTATTAGGCCAAAAAAAAATATGTGGGTTTCCGGTTTCCCGACCCTACCTAGTTTTTGGACGTCGAAATCCCGACCCCGAACTTTTTTATTGGATCATGGTTGTAAGTGTTTCCACTTAGGGGAAAAAGTTTGTGGAAAATTGAAATTTGAGGCAATATTAGGGAAATTTATCTTTGGATGTGGAAGCACTGACTAAACAAAATGGCGTCCGCTTGTTCGGAAAATTAAAAAAAAAGTTTAAAAACAAAAAGTTAAAACCGACCTACCCTACCTAAGTTTTTATAAGAAGAAACCGGAAACCTACATATTTTTTTTGGCCTTACTATTGTATTGATTTTTACCTATCTGACATATTGCAGCTCAAGTGTTTAATAATTTCTGTAGCTCTCAAAAAGCGCTTTTAACATGAAATGCGGAAAAATAGCTGCAAGTTACAACAACATGGGCTTTTCGGGGTAGTAGCAAACAACAACCAAACAATCGATGAACACTAGCGTTTAACTTGGCAGTTTCCTTTATTTTCATGACAGCAAGAAACTCGTACTTTCATCGATCGTGTTCTCTTAAAGAATCCACGAAAATGGCGAGTTCATAGCAATGAAAATAACATTTCCATAGGGAAGTTTATAAACATGCACCTTTTTTAGCACCCTCGTTGCTTGTTTTTAGTGTGAAGTTTCACTTCACACTATTGTGATGGCTGGCGAATTCACACGAATCAGTCAGTCAGTCAGTCAGTCAGTCAAACATAGAGTAAACTTTCCGGGGGGTGTATACGATTTATGTTCGTAGTGATTTATTGTACTTAGTCAGTACTTTGAAGGTTATTTAGGCAATTTCAGTTAACTTATTTACATATTCTGTTATCCTTTTGCCAAGTTCACAAAAATTTCGAGGAATCGCTTTCGTTATTGTAATTTTTTGTAAATTTTAGAACATTCGCTTCTCATGTTGTGTAAAGGATCTTTACCCCGGAACACCCGATTTTTCTTTAGTAGCGCAAATGCGCATGCGCTATCAAGCCGTAGATCACGATGGCGTGACGATATGCTAGGAAGGGGTGACAGTGTTGTTTTCAGATGTATAAAGATTTCAGACGTGAAT